ATGGTGTTTGCTGTTTTTTTTGGGACAACTTCATTGTTTTATGTTCAATCCACTTAAATTTGTCAAATCTAATGAGTGAACATAATTCCTTCATGTTGTCTCAACACAAATGGATTGTGTGGAACCCAGCATTTTTACAGTGTTTATATATAGAGTGCAGTATTGTTGTTGTTTTCTTAGCAGCTTTACTCAATATTCTTAAGAAAATAATGCAAAATTACAATTTAATGGCTGGTAATAAATATTTATGGTTGCTAAATGTTCATCCTCCATTGGCAGGTGTGGAAAAATGTTAACATTGGACTCTTGAGTGCGTGTTTAGATGTATATCCATCTGTGTGTCTTTACCCCTCCCCCTCACATCAATTTTCATACCTCTATTCCCTGTAGACGCCCAGTCACTTTTCAACAACTCCCTCTCTTAAAGCTTTCAGCTGGGATCACCAAACTTCCATGTCATTCCAAACTAGCCTGAATGAGCTGGAGGATTTCTCCCTTTTTCTCTTTACATTTGCCTACAACCTCAATTCAACCAAAATTACGTCTATAACCTTTAGTAACTTTCTAGAACACATTAGCACCTATAACACTATATTAAACACATACATAGCACCTATTTATTTACCACCCCGAACACTCCATAAACCACCTTGAAACTCCTTAGAGACCACTCAACACACCCTTGCAAAAAAAAACAAAAACTAGCAATTACTTTAAAACAATTCCCTAGCACAGTCTGGCATACCATAGCAACCACCTGGATTCTTTTTAGCAATAGTTCAAAACAGGGGTGTGTTTCTGAAAACCATCGTTAGCCAACTTAGGTCGCAAGTTCTGTCATTACAAACAGTTTGTTGATTTGGCGTTTCCCAACGAACATTCGCAGACTGCAACGCAAACTTGTACCATTGCAACTACAACCCTAGAGCTGTAGTTAGAAACAGAGCTCCTGGCTGTGTTCTATTGCCAGTTATTCCCCTATGCCCTATTTCTTTAGAAGAGTCCAACATTTAAACTTGGAATGATTAAAAAAAACATTAAAGTCATCTGTCTTAGATGTAATGTGCTTTCAAAGTATTTTTACAGTTCAGTTAAACAAATCTTCATATTGACAATTGTGTTCCCTTCGTAGTGCACTTTGAAAAATATGCATGTCATTTTTAACACAGCCGTGGCTCATGACTAGGGCCAGACAGAATCTGCAAATATTTTTTGCTATTTCTCCATAAAGTTTAGTAGAAAATCTGTGGATTTATGCGGATATTATTTTGGGTGTATCATAACTAAAATCTGAATATTGAAATGAAAAAGAATAGCTTAATTGTATTTAATGTTTACAATAAAAATTCATTTAGATCCACTTATTTAGTGAACAAAGCAAGTCTCTCATATAATAAAACTACTAAAAGAGAGAAAATATCACTTTACAAACTGTATTGTAAATAAATCAAATGAACATTTTCATATTAGTCAATATTATTACTGAAATTAATTTAAACACTGAATAAATATAAATTAACAAAAGAAAAAAAAAAAATAGACTCAATGATGGGCTAAAAACCTGCGGAGTTCTGTGTGCGCAGATTCCGTGTGGGCCTACTCATGAGGAAAGCTATAGGTGATCTATTATTTAAAAGCAGAATTAAGGCTATTTTACGTCTCCAAAGCTTCTGAAAACAAATAAATATAATGGTTTTAATTTATAGTAGGTTGTTTAATAAGAAATTTATCTGTACTGTTTATGACATGGGCCTGTTAGTTAGAACATTTCTGACTTTTCAAAAAATAAACTAAATAAATTAACAGTATCTTACATAGTAATAATAATTATTATTATTGTTATTATTAAGTAGGATTTTTTTTCTTAATAAATAGCCTACTGTAAATTAGGCCTACAACTATTAGCGACTTATATGATTTTTATATATGAGATTAGAATACGTGTTAGCTCAGTGATTTTTAATGGAATATTGTCAATAATATTTGTTAAGGAAACACATTTAGGTCCTATATGTGTCGTTTACATATTTCAAATTAATGCATGTTTTTAACAAAACTAATATTTGATTTTTTTTAAATGCGTGTGCGTGTAAAGTAATAATTTATGGGAGTTTTCTCTAAAGAAGTAGTTAGTCCACCCCATTTAGAGCATCATTATGGGCATTTAATGTTATAACTAACGTGTTTCAGATGATGGATCTGCGACAGAGAAACTAGGGGTTTTGGGAAACACTCGACACTACATCGTTCTTTTCACAAACGATGCATGATCGTACTATGATAGTTCAGCCACAAGTTATGTTGTTGTTTAGTATAGCAACCCCCCACAACTTAACAACAACTTTAGCAATTATCCAGGACTACCTAGCAACCACCAAACACACTCTAGTAACCACCCAGCACAACCTTTATACATCTTGTAACTAACAGTAACAACCTAACCGCAGCTGGCAACCCTTGATAACCTTTGTGCCAACAATCTTTTTTCTGCTGTTGGTCTTATATCGTGAACACTACTTGACCCATGTTAAATATGTTTTTTTTTTCTCACTATCAGTGACTATCGCTCAGCTTTTCAGTTCAGTTACGTTCTCTATTCTTGTGTTTTTTCTTCAGGGTCAAATGAGTGCTTTTAGTTCAGAGTCATTTCAGGAGGGATTAAATTACTCTGGAAACTTTTTTTGGTGTCCCGTTCGCTGCATCGACCCTACCTAGACTGAAGTGATTGTTTCAACCCTGTATGGACCCCTAGCTTGACCTCTTCTTAAAACAACAAACACTGGGATCTGAACACACACACACACACACACACACACACACACACACACACACACACACACACACACATATATATATATATATATATATATATATATATATATATATATATATACATACAGAGCCTTAGAGAATGGTTTATGTTGCTTTTGGCATGGTCATATGCTCAGTATCATCTCATTTCCTGTTTAGAAAGTAAGTTATGGACTGAGCGTGTCCGTGAAAAAGAGGAAAGTGGAGGCTGCTTTACAAGGCCTGAAAGCAAGGACCTAAAATTAACACTCCCCAAGTGCCATATGAAAATAACAATGAGTATTAGTGAGTTTATGAATGTGGAATGGTGAGTTATTCAAAGAATGCAATATAGTTTTGTGCTATATATTGTACTATATAATGCAATATAGTTTTGTGCTTAACAAAAAAAAAAAATGATAATATATAATTTATATTTATATGTGTGTGTGGGGGGCGAAGCAGTGGCGCAGGGGGTAGCACGTTTGCCTCACAGCAAGAAGGTCGCTGGGTCGCTGTGCTCTAATAATGCAATATGGCATATTACATATAATGATGTAATATGTCTCGTATTCATACTGAATACGAGACATATTACAGGTTATTCTTGTTTAATGGCAACGCAGCGGCTCAGTAGGTAGTGCTGTCGCCTTACAGCAAGAAGGTCGCTGGTTCGAGCCTCGGCTCAGTTGGCGTTTCTGTTTGGAGTTTGCATGTTCTCCCTGTGTTCACGTGGGTTTCCTCCGTGTGCTCCGGTTTCCTTCTGCAGTCCAAAGACATGCGGTACAGGTGAATTGTGGTACAGGCTAAACTGTCCGTAGTGTATGAGTGTGTGTGTGAATGTTTCCCAGAGATGGGTTGCGGCTGGAAAGGCATCCGCTGTGTAAAAACTTGCTGGATAAGTTGGCGGTTCATTCCGCTGTGGCGACCCCGGATTAATAAAGGGACTAAGCTGAAAAGAAAATTAATGAATGATGAATGTGTGTATGTGTGTGTGATTTGATCATGTGACTTTTTTTCTCATCTCTTTTTTTCGCAGTGTTTTCAGTGTCTCAGGTTTGGTTTGCTTACAAAAATGCTTTTGAAAATTCAACAAAGGGCAAACATTTTTCCATATTTGTATGGAGATATGTTTATATATGTGGTGGCAGCAAACATGAAGGGTTTAGAATACAAATAGAAGTTTCTTTATGATCTTTCTGCTTAAATAAAAACTCATTATACTTTTGAATGATTGTTATTTTTATTATTTATTATTATTATTATTATTAAACACTACAGTATTACAATGAAATAATCGTTTTTGTTGCATCTTTATCATTTTAATGAATTATTAAATGTGTAAAAATAGATGCGTTTGCCTATTTTTTCTGCCTGTTATTTATTTATTTTTATGTTTTACTGAAATAATGTACATATAGTGTGCCGACATATAGCACTGAGGTGCTCACGGTGACCCGAGTTCGAGTCCCTGCTCGAGGTCCTTTGCTGATCCTTCCCCCCTCTTTCTGCTCCTTATGTTTTCCTGTCTCATCTCTACTGTCCTGTATAATAAAGGTGAAAAACCCCAAAATATATACTAAAAAATGGAACATATGGCCAATAAATTTCCCCCACTATTAACAAGCTTGGCTAAATGTTTTAGGCTATGTCAGCAGAAGTTATTGTTTTGATTGGAAGCAACAAAAATAACCCATAAGTTCCCATTAATACCAAAATAACTAATCTCAAATAGCCATTTCATGTAAAAAGATTGTATAAATTTCAATTTTCCATCATCTCTTTTATTCATTTTCCTTCCACTTAGTCCCTTATTTATCAGGGGTTGCCACAGCGGAATGAACTGCCAACTATTCTGGCACATGTTTTACACAGCTGATGCCCCTCCAGTCACAACCCAGTACTGGGAAACACCCATACACATTTACACACGCACTCCTACATCACGGCCAATTTATTCAATTCACCTGTACCGCATGTCTTTGGACTGTGGGGGAAACCGAAGCACAAAAGGAAACCCACACCACATGGGGAGAACATGCAAACTCCACACACAGAAATGCCAACTGGCCTAGCCAGGACTCGATCCAGCAACCTTCTTGCTGTGAGGCCATCGTGCCGCCCCTTCCCATCATTTCTTTAAACACTAATGCGCAGAAATCTAATAAACCCAAAATGTGATGAAATAAACCCCTCTTCTTTCACTATAGGCCCAGCATAAAGATTCATACGTGTGTGAACGATACGGAAAATACAACCTGAGTGACCCGTTCCTGGCCCTGCAGAGAGACAGCGAGACCCTCCAGAGCTCCAGCCAGACCAGAGAAGACAGAGCGAGTTCATCTCAGAGACGGGATGGGGTTTGTGGGGCCAAGGCTCGTTCAGATCCTTTAGCGGTGCTGAAGCTGGTGGTGGGACACTGCAGGCGGATGCAGGAGAAGATGTTGAAACAGCTGGCGGCTGCAGAGAACAGACACAGAAGGGTGAGTTTATACTCCACTTACACTGAGATTAAATGCATCACGATAATAAACATGGATTGTTATCATAAACACTTCAAAATATGTGAATAATTATTTAGCATTTAAACTTTTAGAGGGTCTATATATTCAGATTGCAGAATTTGATGCTTAATACATTAACCTGGCTTACGACATTGAAAGTAATCTACGTAAAGGCTAGGGCTGCACGATATTGGAAAAATCTGACATTGCAATATTTTGTTCTGCTGTGATATGATATCAACTGGGATGATCAAGACTTTTTTCTATGCAATGTATCCGATTAAATTTGAATAAATTATGAGTATATAAAGCAAAAATAAAAATGAATGAAACTGTGCTTTATGGTTTTTTGGGGAGTGTATCATATTCAAGTGCAAAATTATTATTATATTTTTATAAATAATAAACATGTTCATCATTGTATAAATAAAAATAATAATAATTATTATTATATTAGTATAAGTAATAAACATGGTCATCATCGTATAAATAATAATAATAATTTTATTAGTATAAATAATAAACATGGTCATCATTGTATAAATAATAATAATTATTATTATATTAGTATTAATAATAAACATGGTCATCATCGCATAAATAATAATAATAGTTATTGTTATTATATTAGTATAAATAATAAACATGGTCATCATCGCATAAATAATAATAATAGTTATTGTTATTATATTAGTATAAATAATAAACATGGTCATCATCGTATAAATAATAATAATAGTTATTGTTATTATATTAGTATTAATAATAAACATGGTCATCATCGTATAAATAATAATAATAGTTATTGTTATTATATTAGTATAAATAATAAACATGGTCATCATCGTATAAATAATAATAATAGTTATTGTTATTATATTAGTATAAATAATAAACATGGTCATCATCGATAAATAAAGGTTCATTCAAATATTTTAGATAATAAGTTAACAATAAATCATGAATAACATTATGGATATATAATGTTTTGCATGAATAAGATTTTAAAAAATGTAAATACTTTCACTCGAAGAATCATCGACGAGCAAATCATTATGAACACTGTTGTGTTATAAATGGGATTGTTTATGTTTTTAATGTAAGAAGTTCATTTTAAAATGTAAAACAATATATATGATTATTAATACAATTAAATTGTTTTTTTATATAAATAAATAAGGAAACTACCATGGGAGCTTTAATCTAATAGTTAGGTTTATTTACCTTCAGCCCACCACACTTAATAAAGTTTGGCCCTTCATAATAAAAGTTTGCACCTGATGAAAGCATGATGTTGAATTAATTTCTTAGTTAATGCATGATGACACATTAAAATCTAAAATCGTAATCGCTTTATTAAATGTTAATAACCAATTCAGTTCAGTTTTTTAGCACATCTACGATATTGCTATTTCACTCTGTTGATTTTAATCCAATGACTAGTAAGACTATACTGTAGTGTGACCTGTTTTATTTTATAATCCCTTTGCAGTTTAAATTTAAACTTTGAAACATGTATATGTAATAAAGCAACACACTAAGCTTTATTGTGATTATACCTGTTAAAGTAATCTTTTTAGTCAACATTGTGCTAATACCATATATAGTGATAAAAGCTTCAGTGAATAATCATAAGAACATTTGATATCAGCAGAAGCCTGGTTTACACTGTATAAAAGCCACTGTCTTCAATACTCATAATGCTCATTTCAATTGGATTTAGCGGAGTGTGTATCAGGTTAAGAAGAGATTGGATTGGTTTATCATCAGCTCATCTCTCTGTCATTCTGTCGCCCCTGTGTGGTGCTTTCAGGTCATCGCTGATCTGGAGGAGGAGAAGAGGAAGCACGCTGAAGATACAGCAGAAGGAGATGACGTCACTTACATTCTGGAGAAGGAGCGAGAGCGCCTCCTGCAGCAGGTGCACAGGATTACTGTCATCTTGATTTGAGTTACTGCTAGGGTGCAGGCTTTAATCCTAATCTAGCCGAGTGTTTTTGTTTTGTTAAAATATACATATATTATTAGTACTTATAAGGGTTGTCGCTTATACAGTATCTACCGCCTTGATGACAGGCAAATAGTTTAGTTTAGTTGAAAACTCATGATATAAGGATCATGCCCAACATATGTAGCTATTTTCTATTTATATCTCCTTTGAAATATGGTATCACAAAAATATGGACTTTCCTCTATGACTCCCATTCAGTTTAGTACTTCCTGCCCTCCATCTGAATTTCGCGCATTACCACAACCACATGATTCAAAACAACCTATAAGTTGACAATTTTTACTCCATTTTTTCTAACAAATATAGCCTTGTTGAGCAGAGAGACTTTTCGAAATCATTATAAACCGACCCCAAACTTTTGACTTGAGTGTTTCTGTTTTCTTGTAAATGTATAAATCTGTCAATGTATTTCCAACTAATTTGTGTATTTTTTATCTTTATATACACTTGTTTAGTTAGAGTTTGAAAAGTCGAAGACGTCCCGAATGGAGCGTGAGAACAAGCGGCTGCACGATCAGCTGAATGAGCAGCAAGTCCAGCAAAAACAGCTCATGACGGCACTGAGTCGGGAGTGCAAACGCTCCGGCACCCGTGCTTACGAGGAGTCCCAGCGTGCTGCCGAACTCAGCCAGCGACTCGAGCGCGAGCGAGCTGCCAATCAGACTCTGAGGGCGGAGCTTGAAGAGGAAAAGAAGAGGGCTATGCAGATGGAGGCGAGACGAGAAGAGCTGCTGGCAGAGTTCGACACTGAAAGAGAACAGCTCGGGCTGAGATTACGAAAAGAGGAAGCACGCTGTAACGCACTACAAGAAGAATTAGAGACGTTAGGGAAAGAGACAACAGATTCAGTCAATGGCCACCACATTTCTATGGTGGAAGATGCTGAGAAGCCGAGTTTGTTAAGCAATGGGACCACTTCACAAGCCTCTCAATCCCCAGACATACAAGCTGCCTATCAGGCCGGCATCCACCAGCGCTTCCATGCAGCCCGTCACAAGTTTCAAGGCACCAGTGATCAAGATCCAAACCCTGTTTCTTCTACTATAAACTGTCCACATGACATTTCGCCTTGTCCAACTTCACCAGATATCATTTCTTCAAAACAAGCCCCCCGTGGCACCATGCTCAGTCGCTTTAGCACTCCTCAAAGTCCCAGCAAATCAACATCTTCAAACAGTTCTCCTTTCGGCACTGATTATCGTGCTGTGGTCCAGTCTGGGATGTTGTCTCCAACTATCAGGTCTCCGACTATACCCAGAGCGGACAGAGGGATCCCGCCTCCAATCCCACCCAAAAAACCAGGCCTGGCCGAAACGCCGCCTTCTCCTGCCACCCTGCGAGCTGCTCACTTTGCTCATATGACTGTCGGTTGCGGACGCAACAGCAGCTCGGAGAACAGCAAAGAACCAGATCTGATGCTGTCATCTAGCAGCTAGCAAGCGCAAATCAACAACTCGATCCTGTCAAACACTGCTGATTTTTTAAGGGACTTTTCCAGGTTTTGAACAAATATTTGGTAACACTTTACTATCCTAATTAACTACTAGTTAGCTGTTTATTAATAGTTAGTAGGGTAGAAGTTGGGAATGGGTTTTGGGTAGGATTGAGGATGTAGAATACAATCATACTTTATAACTGCTAATGACAGTTCATATCTTAACAATAGGCAGGTGATAAGCCAGTAGTTAATAGCATGTATTATGACCTAAACTAAAATGCTACCAAATATTTTAGAACCATACGTTTAAGTAACTCTGTACTTTTATTATATTTCGATTAAGGCATGTTGATTATATGCATAATTACATTATGTGTTCAGTCAATTATTATGAGAATAATCAGCATTTTATCTCTGACAATCACCAGCTCCTGTAGATAGTTTTATATATTGTTTTTCTGCTAGATATTTATACATCTTTACACTACAAATAAAACATTTGGGTTCACTAAGTTTAGTTTTTAAGAAAATCCTTTATAATGCTGCAAAATTGATTTCTATTTCAATTAAAAGTAAATAATTCTGAAAAGTGTTACAGTTTCCAAGCAGCGCACCCGTTTTCAACATAAATAATAATATAATCAAATAACTTTTGAGCACCTAGTTGGCATATTATAATGATATCTGAGGGATTATTTTTCACTGAATATATATATATATAAAACTGAACTGAATATATATATTATATTTATATTTATACATGCACAGTTGAAGTCAGAATTATTAGCCCCATTTATTAATTTTTTCCCGATTTCTGTTTAGCGGAGAGATTTTTTTAACACATTTCTAAACATAATAGTTTTAATAATTAATTTCTAATAACTGATTTATTTTATCTTTGCCATGAAGACAGTACATAATATTTGACTAGATATTTTTCAAGACACTTCTATACAGCTTAAAGTGACATTTAAAGGCTTAACTAGGTTAATTAATTTAACTAGGCAGGTTAGGGTTATTAGGCAAGTTATTGTATAATCATGGTTTGTTGGGAAAAAATATAGCTTAAAGGGGCTAATCATTTTGTCCCTAAAATGCTTTTAAAAAAAATTGAAACTGCTTTTATTCTGGCCAAAAGAAAAAAAAAAGACTTTCTTCAGAATAAAAAATATTATCAGACATACTGTGAAAATTTCCTTGCTCTGTTAAACATCATTTGGGAAATATTTAAAGAAGAAAAAAAAAATCATAGGGGGGCTAATAATTTAGACTTCAACTGTGTGTGTGTGTGTGTGTGTGTGTGTGTGTGTGTGTGTGTGTGTGTGTGTGTGTGTGTGTGTGTGTGTGTGTGTATATATATATATATATATATATATATATATCTATATATATATATATATATGTGTGTGTGTGTGTGTGTGTGTGTGTGTGTGTGTGTGTGTGTGTGTGTGTGTGTGTGTGTGTGTGTATATATGAGAAATGATGCTGAAAATTCAGCTTTGATGATAGTAATAAATGTGTCCCAGGACCACAAAACCAATCAAAAGTGCCAGGTTTTGGAAAATGAGATGTATTCATTTTCTCTATTGATTTCTTATCGTTACGCCATCCATTGATACACTGTAGTGATACACTGTAAAAAAAAATCCTGGTTGTCTTAAATTTTTTAAATGAATCAAATTACAGTTCATTGAACTTATACAGTATTATGTTAAACTGACTTAAAACTAACTTGTGAAATTAAGTTAGAACATGACATTAACATATTAGCTTCATATAATTGTTTACAGGGTAGATGCATTGTTATGATATGTTGATATTTAGCTGAGATAACATCTATTTAAAAATCTGGAATCTGAGGGTTCTAAATACTAAGAAAATCAAAATTAATTAAAATCACTCACTAATCAAAAAATGGGTTTTGATATATTTACAGTAGGACATAATATCTTCATGTAACATGATATTTACTTAATATTGTAGATTTTTGGAATAAAAGAAAATTTGATAATTTTGACCATTACAATGTATTTTTGACTATTGGTTTTGTTGTCGACAATCACAAATTACATTTTAAAATAATTTAAAATGTAAAGAAATCGTTTAGAATTGTATAATATTAATGAACGAAGCCTTAGAAATGTTCAGAAATGATTAAACAATGCAATTGTGCACATCATTTTATATCTGAAAACTGTATCCATCACCATCATCTAGTTGATACACTGAACTATATTAAACATACAGCATGTGCAAACAGTCTCTTACTTTTTCCAATTGTTTTTTTATATCTCAAGCTAACGGATATTTAGCCTGACTATTCCCATCTTTGCTCAGCAGTTTGTATCACTTTATAATGTTCTACCATGTTTATCTTGTACTTTTGTATCCTTTTTGTGATCTGATATGATTGATATTTTTATAACCGTTATCATTTTTAGACTCTTTGTTACTCTTGTAGATGGGCTTAAAACAAATTATCTTAGATTTATATATTTATATGTATCTGTACTGCCTAAAGCCAGCCAGCAGGAGGCACTGGGTGGTCAAGATACACTATCACCCATCCTCGGCTATATTTGGAAAATAATACTAGCTTACTGCGCAGTATACTACACTATATACTCCCTTATATTTTTTTTAAAACATAGTATGAGAAATAAAGTTATTTTGAGATTTAATCCAATTCTGTGTATGAGTGTGTTATTTAGAGTCTGCCTGTAATAATAACAATAGAATTGCATATATAGTGTTCATTTAAAGGCTAAAGAACAAAGAACAGTGGTGACAGGGGGCTTTCAAAATAATGTGTATTTATTTTAGTATAAAACTGACTATTATATGGAGCGAAATGGTGACTCAGTGGTTAGCACTGTCGCCTTACAGCAAGAAGGTCGCTGGTTTCAGTCCAGGCTGGGTCAGTTTGCATTTCTGTGTGGAGTTTTCATGTTCTCACCGTGTTGGCGTGGGTTTCTCCGACAAATACAAGTGCTATAGGTGAATTGAATAAACTGAACTGGTTGTAGTGTATGTGTGTAAAAGAGTGTGTATGGATGTTTTTCAGCACAGGGATGCAGCTGGAAGGGCATCTGCTTTGTAAAACATATGCTGGATAAGTTGGCAGTTCATTAGACTAGCAACCCCTGATGAATTAAAGGACTACGCCGAAGGAAAATGCAGGGAAACCGGAGCATTTTTATAAATGCAGTTCAGATTAAGTATACTGTTTCATGTCTACATATCCAGTTGAAGGCAAAATTAATCACTTTTATTTCCATAATTATTTTCACTTTCAGTTTGTACACATTGAAATGCAACATTTTACAAACATTTTTACAACAATATCCTTGTTGCATTTACAAATTAAATATGAGTACACACACATATATATATATATATATATATATATATATATATATATATATATATATATATATATATATTTTTTTTTTTTTTTTACTAAAGAACAAACAAACAAAACTAAAATAAACAAAATAAAAGTATAACTGCTCCTCTTTTTGTCGTTAATGGTAATCTATTCAAACATGACAATTATAATCATACTGAGTACTAGGTACAGCAAATATACATTGAAGAATGTATCAATATAGAACTATAAGACTGGAACTGCATTGTCCACCAAAAATTATTCAACTTCTTTCTCTGTTAATTTCACTTCTTTGATATAACTAATGAAAGGACTCCATATGTTTTCAAATACATGCTGTTTAGCTTTTAGTATACAAGTAATTTTTTTTAATGGCAAGCCTGACATTTGTCTTACCCATTGGTTAATTAATCACTTTTTTATTTTATTTCTCTTATATAACACATTTTTAAAACATAATAGCTTTAAAAACTCATTTCTAACAATAAGTTTCTTTTGCCATGGCAGTACATAATATTTTACTAGTTAGTTTGCAACATACTTTAGTATTCAGCAGAAAGTGGAAGACTTAAAGACTTATAGGTTAATTAAACAAGGTAGGTTATTTAGCCAGGTCATTGGACAAGAGTGGTTTGTTTTATAGCCAATCAAAAATATCTTAAGGAGTGTAATGCTGATGTTAAAAATGTATATATTTCAAATAATAAAGAACTACTGTATAACAGTTTTTCTGTAATAAAAAAATCCTTTGTTATACATACCTCTATTAATTTCTAATAATAATTTTGCCTTTAACTGTATGTCTATGTACAGTCACTGGCCACTTTATTAGGTACACCTTACTAGTACCGGGTTGGACCCCCCCTTTTGCCTTCAGAACTGCCTTAATCCTTTGTGGCATGATGCCAATCTCCTGTTCCACCACATCCCAAAGGTGCTCTATTGGATTGAGCTCTGGTGACTGTGGAGGCCATCTGAGTACAGTGAACTCATTATCATGTTCAAGAAACCAGTCTGAGATAATTCGCACTTCATGACATGGTGCGTTATCCTGCTGAAAGTAGCCATCAGGAGATGGGTACACTGTGGTCATAAAGGGATGGACATGGTCAGCAGCAATACTCAGGTAGGCTGTATTGACAACATGATGCTCAATTGGTACTAATGGGCCCAAAGCGTGCCAAGAAAATATCCGCCACACTGTTACACCACCAGCAGCCTGAACCATTAATACAAAGCAGGATGGATCCATGCTTTCATGTTGCTGACACCGAATTCTTACCCTACCGTCCTAATGTTGCAGCAGAAATCGAGACTCATCAGACCAGGCAACGTTTTCCCAATTTTCTATTTTCTAGTTTTGGTGAGTCTGTGTGAATTGTAGCCTCAGTTTCCTGTTCTTAGCTGACAGGAGTGGCACCCGCTATGGTCTTCTGCTGCTGTAGCCCATCCGCCTCAGGGTTTGACGTGTTGTGCGCTCAGAGATACTGTTCTGCATTCCTCAGTCGTAGCCATTCTCCTCTGACATTAACAAGCTATTTGTGCCCACAGAACTGCCGCAGATATTTTCTCTTTTTAGACCATTCTCAGTAATCCCTACAGGTGGTTGTGTGTGAAAATCCCAGTAGATTAGCAGTTTCTGAAATACTCAGACCAGCCCGTCTGGCACCAACAACCATGCCATGTTCAGTCACTTAAATCTCCTGTTTTCTTCATTCTGATGCTCAGTTTGAACTGCAGCAGATCGTCTTGACCATGTCTACATGATGATTAGAAATTTGTGTTAATGAGCAGTTGGACAGGTGTACCTAATAAAGTGGCCAGTGAGTGTATATATCTACTGGAAAAAAAAATAAGAGAAGAAATAAAATTTCTCATCTAATTAGAAAATGTGTTACACTTTTAAAATGCTGCTTATTTAAAATGACAATACTTCAGATTTGTTTTGGGATAACTTTATGTTCAATCCACTTGAATTTTTACTTGAGCTTTGTGTTGGGACAACATGAACCCTGCATTTTAAGTGTACTAGAGACGACATGACATAATAAACATGTTTATAAAGTATTACTCTCTGTGTGTCATCATATATTGAACTCATGATATGGAACACTCACTTCAAGTTCAATATCACATGCCTTAGTCATTGTATGATTCACATTTTAATGTTATAATAACAGAAGGACAAGCGACCCTTAGATCCTCCAACATCTGCTGTCTCAAGCGCAGATACAAAGCGTGTGAAAAATGTGTGTGCATCACAAGCATCCATGTGAGACTAACAGGAGCGGGGATCACAGTTTAACCAGCCAGGAGCCTCTCCCTAAATCCTAAATCCCCGCTTTATGTGTGACTATATGT